AGGGAATTTGCTGTATCAGTGTTGAAACAAATCAGTTCAACGTTTGAATATCTTTAAAGGTGTATATAAGGCGGCGCTTGTGATTTTTGCGTCAATTTTTTGCAATTTTGCAATCATTTTCGCTAAAAGTACGGTAATTTTTCCTAAGCGTGCGTTTTAAAAAAGGCATTACTTGCGAGGAGCACACTCTACTAATAGAATGCACCTCTTTTCACTAATATTTGATTGAGGAAAAAGTAATGTCGATTTTGAATTGGGAAAAGATGGGAAAAGATGGGAACAAGTCATCAATAAATAATGGAGAATATCTCATTGATTAATGTGCGTTTGTTTATGTTTTTAGTAAGAAACAGTTTTGGCGTTCAATTTAGGCTCAATTTCAAAGTTCAATTTAGCCCGCAAATGCTATGGGAGTAAAAATAAAATTGATTTGGAGGAAAAATTGGAAAATTTTTTTGCGAAAAAAATCATAAGGGGGGACCACATGGATTTTCGAGGCTCGATCGGAAGAAAAATATTTTCATTTTAAACCTCTTTTTTGTACGTTTTAGAGCAAATTCAATAGAATTAGAGTGGTTTTAAAAAAACAATAAAGTCTAGACAGTCACTAGAAAGTCACTAGATAGTCACTAGAAAGTCACTAGAAAGCCACTAGATAGTCACTAGATAGTCACTAGACAATCACTAGACAGTCACTAGACTTGCTTAACGAGAATTAATGAGACAAATGGGTCGCGCAACTCAGAAAACACAGAGAAAACAAGTGCGAAATAGAATTGACGTGCAACCCTTGGAGTTGCGCGGATTGGAGGCAATTTGGAGGCGATCTTTCTCGTTAAGCAAGTTTAACGGAAACGTGTGGCCCAAGATTAAACTCATTCTTTGAGAGATTTAATCATTTTCTTTGAAACTCAACTTTTTAAAATCTCTTCTCTAGGCTTAAATGGCAAATTTACTCACTAAAATATCGTATTTTGTATTTTTCCTTTGGACAAACAAAGTTTTTGCCCGGTATTACGATAAACAAATCTCTTTAAACTGCTTTACTCTTGAAATTGAGTTTATTGAAGTCAATCTTTTGCACCTACACTACTGGACAATGAAATATCATATTTGAAAAAACTCTTTCGCACTTTTGCGCGTCTGTAACTCCATTGTCTTTACCGTATTTCTAAATATTAATATTACCATTGTGTAGCCCTTGAAAAGAGCTTTCAGAAAATGTCTAGCACTAATAGTTTAAACTCAAAGACAAGGGAGTTACAGATGCGCGAAAGTGCGAAAGAGTTTTTTCAAATATGATATTTCATTGTCCAGTACTGATATAGCTTAGAATCGGAGCCAGATCTAGAGAAAATTCAGGGATTTTAAAGTCCATCAATTGAGAAAATTGAGAATCTGGAGAAAATCTGGATCTGGAGAAAATTGAGGGATCTGGCTCCGATTCTAAGCTATATCAGTACTGGACAATGAAATATCATATTTGAAAAAAACGATCGTCACTTTCGCGCGTCTGTAACTCCCTTGTCTTTGAGTTTAAACTATTAGTGTTATACATTTGTCTGAAAGCTCTTTTCAAGGGCTACACAATGATAATATTAATATTTAGAAATACGGTAAAGACAAGGGTGCTAAAGACGCGCGAAAGTGACGATCGTTTTTCAAATATGATATTTCATTGTCCAGTACTATATCTTCTACACTTCATTTAAACTTTATCACAAAGAAAAAGGTTTCATTTTTCGGTTTAATTACTAGGCTTTGTATTATTATTATTATTATTATTATTATTTTCTCTCCAAATATGTTTCCTTTTGTCTCTTTCCTTGATTAAGTTACTTATTAAGGTAGGCCTGGAACTAGGCCTGGACAAGATCCTGGACCTGGACACTAAGTCTATCTACGGTTGACGTAGATAGACTTAGTGTTTATAGTGTTTGTACTTGATAAAATTTGAAACCTTTTCTTGAAAAGCGGCTCATCGTCATCACTCTCGGAAAGCTCGACCATTTCGGCTGACTTCTTTTTCTTTTCCTAAATATTTTCAAATGATTGATTATTCCAAAATAACTCTCTATTTACAGACAATGAAATATGATATTTGAAAAACGATCGTCACTTTCGCGCGTCTGTAACTCCATTGTCTTTGAGTTTAAACTATTAGTGCTAGACATTTTCTGAAAGCTCTTTTCAAGGGCTACACAATGGTAATATTAATATTTAGAAATACAGTAAAGACAATGGAGTTACAGACGCGCAAAAGTGCGAAAGAGTTTTTTCAAATATGATATTTCATCGTCCAGTACTATATCTTCTACACTTCATTTAAACTTTATCACAAAGAAAAAGGTTTCATTTTTCGGTTTAATTACTTGATTTTGAAAGAAATAAACGTCAAATTTGCTAGTAAAATTCGTTATTTTCTTTTATCTCTTCATTATATCTCTTCGCTTTTATCTCTTCTTTAAAAAAAAATGTTATTCATTTAATTTGAAATCCCCTTTATTTTCCTTTCAAAAAACAGTAAATTTTACCTTTTTTTACTTCAAAATTTGAGCAATTAAACTGAAAAATAAGCTCTTTTTATTCGACTAAAAAATCTGATTTCATTTTTAATCGGATTCACTTAAAAACGAGAAAAAATGAGAAAAAATGAGGAAAAAATGACTTCAAATTCCTCAAGAAAAGGTACAATTTTGCCATTTTTACCACAAAATTGCCACCTCTTTCCCCGATACAAAAAGGTTATGAAAAATGAGATTTTTTTTGTGCCTTTAAACAGAAAAAGTCTTTTGAAATCATTTGCCTTTTTAATTGCCTTTTTAAAGTTCGAAATTGAAAAGTTTTAGAATTGAAAAACATCGAGCAAACCTTTTAAATGAATTTTTTTTTGAGTCCTTCACTTTGAAAGATCAATTTTTTAAAGCGTTTGTCTATTAAAATAGATTGACGATTGACCGAAGGTTCACTCAGTTGTTGTGCATCTCCTTAGCTCGCCTCTTTCATCATATCACCCTTTCAACGTCGCAGTCTTGCAACCGGATGCTTTAAGCTCGGATCAACCAGATATGAAACGCATCAGAGCTCCGGGTAGCTCAATGATCCCACCAGACTGCTAGCTCGGGTTAAAGACTAAGCCATGCATATCTTAGTTCAGATATCTGTACCAGCCCCGCTTTAGCCCAGCGCCGCTTTAGACCAGCCCCGCTTTAGCCTAGCCCCGCTTTAGCCTAGCCCCGCTTTAGCCTTTAGCTTTAGCTTTAGACCAAAAAGGTGCGGGGCTTTAGACCAGCGAACTCGAACCTTAGTGGATCGTGCCTCGGATTCAAGCACTTTACCACTTAGCCACAGGTGCTTTATACCAGCGCCTCTCACTAACGTTCGCGTTTTACACTCAAACTAAGCCCCGCACCTTTTTGCCAATAGCTGCGCACAGACGGACTTAGACGGTTTCAGCTTAATGGATATCCATCCACTCGATTTCCGATTGCTTTTATATACAGTCAAACGTCGATTTAATGATTCTCAAGGGATTTAATGATTCCATCGTTAGATCGAACGTCGTTATAAAGTATACGGAAAGTAGAGGCCCAAAGTAGAGCACAGATTTACCTTTCTAATGGTACAAACTGGACTAATTTTAATAGCTTTGTTCTCTTTAATAAAGAGTCCACTCTATGTGCAATTAGCTTGTTAACTGAGTCTTTAAAGTCTACGTTGAAACAACGATTTGAATATAACTTCCTTTCAACAAGCCCAACTGTTTTGATTTAACCCTTGTTTTTATTCTTCAAAAGTTTTCAAAATTCCACTTTTCAAATCCTTTTGCTTGCATTTGCTTTGAATTTGATTTGAATCGAAAGCTGTGACTCTCTAGCAATCGTGGCTCCATCACTCCTCCATCCGAAACCCTCAAAATCCCTTCTTCCATCGCGTTTCCGCTCATCGACGCAACGAGAGAAATTTCCGCTTTCACATAGTGAATCCACTCAATCGATGCCATTGATCAGCTCGTGGAGTGTCGCACATTTATTCTCATCCACGTAAGGATTTGGGAATAGGGTTTAGGATTTGTAAGCCTGTTGGCTGTTGTAGCCTGTTGTATGTTCTGTAAGCCATGCCAGATCAGTTCTGGCTTCTGGATTTAGGAATAGGGTTTAGGATTTGTAAGCCTGCTGTAGGATTTGTAAGCCTGTTATAGGATCTGTAAGCCATGTCAGATCAGTTCTGGCTTTGACTATCGTATCTATCTTAGCTATCGTAAACTATCGTAGCTTTTGACTGCCGTAATTACCCAGGCACTACCGTAACTACCCAGGCACTACCGTAAACATTCTAATAGAAAAGCCGGCTCAATGTTCCTCTAAAATTCTCTTTTTTGTGCGCTAGCTATACCCGAATTTTCAAGAGCTCAAAAATATGGGATTTTCTGGGCTAATTCCAGCTAACTTCTGGCTTGGCTAAGAAAAAAATAGACTTAAAACACTCCAGCTTAGGATTGAAACAAAAAAATTGGAAAATAGCCATGATCTTCGTGCTTTAAAGTCTATTTTTAAAAGCCTACGTTTCCCCCAAATGATTCTAATCCAAAAACAAGAATTGAATCATTAGAATTGAATTGAGTTGAAAGCAAGAATTGAATCATCATTAGAATTGAATTGAGTTGAAAACAAGAATTGAATCATTAGAATTGAATTGAGTTGAAAGCAAGACTTGCATCGTCATTAGAATTGAATCATTATAAATGTTTCTCTTTTAAAATGACACTTGAAAGCATAAAGTAGTCAAATTTTAACAAAAAAATAAAGCAAGTTTCAATTTTGAGAAGTTCATCTGTTTCGAAGAAGTTTTAGTTATAAAATCCAAAATTTCACAATATTACTTCACGAAATTCCATAGTAAAACATAAAAAAACAAAGATTAAAATAATATTTTGATAAATAAGACTAAGAATTGTAAGATTTTATGGCCGATTGACTCAATTTTGTTCTCAATTTCAGCTCGGATGCTTCGGATTCGTCGGAGCGTCGAGCCTCATCCGCCAAAAATAGTCTTTTCCTCTTTAGCGAGGATGCTGATTACACAGAAGAGGTAAATTTCGATAGAATTTCTTGTAAATCAGTTTAAAAATAAGCTCCTTATTGCTAAAAACAAAAAAAAATATTTAGACCGATGAAGTGGACGATCGATCGGTGCTCCGCTACGAGCTCGGTTTCTACGAGAAAACGGGGAAAGATTGCTATCGGTGAGTGAAATTGGAATTGTTTCTGGAAAACGCTGAAAACGTAATAGCTAAAGTTCAGTCTGAAATTTGTAGCTAGCTAAATAGCTAAATAAGCTAAATAACTTCCCGCTAAATAACTTTCTAGTTAAATAACTTCCCTCAATAAGCTTCCCTCAATTTAACATTCAAAAATTCATTAAACCAAACGACTAAACTAAACAATGAAAATTTCACTCATCCAGTCTGAAAAGTAAAAAGGAAAATACTTTAATAGGACTCGAACCCTAGTGGATCGAGCCTGAAACGAGCCTGGAATCCAAGCACTTTACCACTTAGCCACAGGCGCCTCGTGAGACCGACTAGAGTTAGCTACTTAAAGCGACTTTTCACCCAACATTGCAACCTACTTCCAGTCTGAAAAGTAAAAAGGAAAATACTTTGACAGGACTCGAACCCTAGTGGATCGAGCCTGAAACGAGCCTGGATTCAAGCCCTTTACCACTTAGCCACAGGCGCCTCGTGAGACCGACTAGAGTTAGCCACTTAAAGCGACCTTTCACCCAACATTGCAACCTGCTACCACTTTAAAGTTTTAAACATGCTACCACTTTAAAGTTCATTTTTTAAGTAAACTTTCGACATCTGGCATACCAAATTCTTTACTTTAAATCAAGTTCTTAAGCTAATATTTGCATTTTCAGAGGCACATTGACCTTCGCTTTACGCTACGATTTCATCCATCGTGTGCTGATGTTACATGTTTTACGCGCCAACCATTTACCGGTTGAGGTGAAAAATGTGAATGCTTTTGAAGTGATATTAGCTGGTTTTAGTTTTTTAGATTAAGTACTCGAATTTAGTACTCGATTTAGTACGATTTAGTACTCGATTTAGTACTGGATTTAGTACTGGATTTAGTACTCGATTTAGTACTGGACTTAGTACTCGATTTAGTACTGGACTTAGTACTCGATTTAGTACTATTTAGTACTATTTAGTACTCGATTTAGTACTCGATTTAGTACTCGATTTAGTACTTGATTCAGTACTCGATTTAGTACTTGATTCAGTACTCGATTCAGTACTCAATTAAGTACTCGATTAAGTACTCAATTTAGCACTCGATTTAGTACTCGAATTTAGTACTAGAAATCTCGAAAATTCAGGACAAAGAACAAACGGTGGACCCGTACGTGAAAGTGTACTTGTTGCCGGATCGGCGGAGTCATTGCAAAACGAGGATATGCAAGAAAACTTTGGATCCAGGTTGGAGAGCTAGTCGGATCTCTCGGTCCCCATTGTTCTCTCGGTTTTGTAGCAAAAAATCGAAATTGATTTATCTTCAGAGTTCAACGAGATGTTCAGCTTTGACGTGCCATTCAATAGTCTATCAAATAAAATGTTGCAGGTTTGTGTGAAGACTTGAATATTTGAATGAAATAAACTTTTTAAAGTTTACCGTCTACGATTTCGATCGATTTACGAGACACGGATTAATAGGTGAGCAGTTAATCTGTTCCTAAAAGCAGTTTCTAAAGGTTAATCTGTTTCTAAAAGCAATTTCTAAAGGTTAATCTGTTCCAAAAAGCAATTTCTAAAAGTTAATCTGTTCCTAAAGGCAGTTTCTAAAGGTTAATCTGTTCCTAAAAGCAGTTTCTAAGAGTTAATCTGTTCCTAAAGGCAGTTTCTAAAGGTTAATCTGTTCCTAAAAGCAGTTTCTAAAGGTTAATCTGTTTCTAAAAGCAATTTCTAAAGGTTAATCTGTTCCAAAAAGCAATTTCTAAAAGTTAATCTGTTCCTAAAGGCAGTTTCTAAAGGTTAATCTGTTCCTAAAAGCAGTTTCTAAGAGTTAACCTGTTCCTAAAGGCAGTTTCTAAAAGTTAATCTGTAAATCGGTGATAAATTAGGGTTAAACTTGAAACATTCGAAATTCATCGCGAAAATTCAATTAATTTCTAGGCTAGCTATGTTTCCGTGAAGTTAAATCTTGTTTTTGGATCTAATTTTTGTTGGCAAAGGGATAGAAGAGAAGAAAAAAACTAGTTGAATTTTCAATAATGCATATTTTTAAATAAAATTATCTTCATGATTCAATTAGCAGTCGCAATAACCATTAAGTATTAATAACTATTAAGCCACTTTACTTTTTTTTGCATGACTGTGGCATTTTCTAAGCTACAGATCCCGTAGTTTTTCAAGGAAAAGAAAAAATACCCTATTTTATAATGCACAAATAGAGTAAACCGTTTTCTTTTAGGCAATGTGATTATGAGGGATCTTTTCGATAAATCCGATCTCTACGCATGGACGGAATACACGATGCAAATCGTTTGCAGTCAGGTAAAGATCGATTAAAAAACAAATCATAAAGCAACGTCCAACAAACACGATAAAACAAACAAAAAATGAGACCAACTCTGCTGATTTGAGCAAAGTCCTGAATGAACTGAAGGCAAGGGAATGACCAGAAGTGGAGGTAATCGTTTGGGGGGTAACCGAAGTGGAGGTAACCGTAATCAAACTTGAAACCTCATTCAATAGATCTTATGATGAGCCTGTACATGAGTCTCTTGTACATGACCAAAAAAAACTAGCTTCCTAAAGTAACTCTACGAGAAATAGAGCAAAAATGAGGTCAAGGAGGGTTTTTTGAGCCTCCTTGACCGGCTGGCTAGACCGGCTGCAACTTTGAATCAATGTTTTTGAATAATCTTTTTTGCATGCAATAGAAATTGAATGAAACTAAAAAATAAACTTTCATTAATTCAAGAAACTTAAGTTTCTATAAGAGTTTAGTAAACTTTGACTAAAATCAATAGCTTTGAAATGTAAAATGATGAGAATAGTAGTAGTAATAATAATAATACTAATAATAATAATAATAATAATAATAATAATAATAATAATAATAATAATAATAATAATAATAATAATAATATGAGAATGATTTATCGGATGAGGTATGACCCATCCCAAAAGGTCATCCCCCTTTGGCCATTTATAAAGTCAACTTACTATTAGTCAAAGTCAAAAAAGAAATCAAGTTTAAAATAATGCACTATTGATCTTAATGTTTTCATTTAAAGAAAATCAAATTGAAACTAGAAAATTGAAACTAGATAAATTCCTCTTTCGGCTATCCAAAAATCGTGGGAGCTATTTGAAATGATAACACCACTATGAAAATAGTAAATGATGATGATGATGATGATGATCACCATCGATGATCATGACGATGATCACCATCAGCATCGATAATAATAATAATAATAATAATAATAATATGAGAATGATTTATCGGATGAGGTATCCCTCTCCCAAAAGGTCACCCCCACCTCTGGCCATTACTTTTTCAGCCGTTCTTTAACCTTTATCAAACTTGAAACCCAGGATTTTCAAAAGAAGAAAAAGAGAAGATAATTTCTTACGGTAATTAAAGACAAGTATATTGTCTATTGGTTTATTGTTTACCTATTTTTGTTGTTGTTTATTACAAGTTTATTGGTTAAAAGGCTATCATCGGGTCCATTATGTGTAGATAAAGATCTTTATAAATATAAATCAATAATAATATGAGAATGATCTATCAGACGAGGTATGACTCATCTCAAAAGGTCACCCCCACCTCTGGCCATTACCTTTTCAGCCGTTCTTTAACCTTTAGCAAGCTTGAAACCCAAGATTTTCAGGAGAAGAACGATTTCGGCGATTTATTGTTGTACCTTTCGTACTCGGTTTCCGAGCAAAAGTTGTGGGTAACTGTGGCAAAAGCCTACAATTTGAGGCCAATGGATATCACTGGAGCATCGGGTGGGTATTGGGGATTGTTAATCTTTGTCACTTGAGCTGAACTTGTGCTATCAACTGTGATCTGCACCTAGCACAACGAGTACAAAATTAAATTTCAGTAAATCAAAAATCTGATTACAACAAGTTTTAATGTGCATTCCAGATAAGCTAAAAGCAAAGTGTTTTTAAAATCGAGCTGGACTCTCGACATCCAAGCAAAACCTTGTCCAGCTCCTTCAAAAAGGAGCTGGACAAGGTTTTGCAGTGATAAATCAAGTTGCATACTTGTTTAGAAGTGTTCAAAAGGTTTTCTGTAGCTTACTGATAAGATTATATTGTTATATACAATAGGATAGACTTTAAATCTTTTGAATCTTTTGAATCTTTTGAAACGAAATTCTTTTTAGATCCCTATGTGAAAGTGGAACAGGTTTTCCGGGGAAGACGGGTGAAATTGCGTCGAACGACGACAAAGAGAGCAAATTTGAATCCGGTTAGTAAAAGAGAATATAAATACTATTCTTTAAGCATTGTTTTTTTGTTAGCAATACAATAGCAATGTTGTTTGTTTACAGGTTTATCACGAGACTTTGGAATTCGATTTACCACCGACACAAGCGGGAGAGACGAATATGCTAGTGCAAGTGATGGATTGGGATAGGTGAGTTCTTTTTGGAAATTTCAAATTTCAGAAAGTTTGATTTGATTTGAAAAGTTGATAAGTTCAGAAAAACTTCAATTTTAACAGAAATCAATCAGAATTGCTTAATAAAATAAAAAATTATAGTTTTGCTGACAAACAGGTGCCTCTTGAACGCATTAATTATCTAATCCTCACATTAAAAGGTTCAACTTTGAAACATCAATATCTTAATTGCAAGTTGAACAATTAAAACTATCAGTTTTTAATATCTACAGGTTATATTTGCTGTTCTTTTATATAGGATCTAGATTAGAGGCTCATGTACAGGAGGCTGGTGTACAGGAGGCTGATGTACAGGAGGCTGATGTACATGAGGCTCATGTACAGGAGGCTGATGTACAGGAGGCTGATGTACATGAGGGCCAGGTACATGAGGGCCAGGTACATGAGGGCCATGTACATGAGGACCATGTACAGGAGGCCCATGTACAGGAGGTCCATGTACAGAAGGGCCATGTACAGGAGGCTGATGTACAGGAGGGCCATGTACGGGAGGGCCATATACAGGAGGGCCATGTACAGGAGGGTCATGTACAGCAGGCCATGTACAGGAGGGCCATGTACAGGCTCATGTACAGGAGGCCCAACTCACACTTTCTGGTAGATTCTAGTTTTAATCAAGGCAGGCTACATTGTACATTGTTGAAGCATGACACTTTTTAAAGAAAAGTTCTATTAAATCAAATAGTAGAAGGAAATTCTCCATTAAAAATCGTACTTCTGATTATTTTCCCCTCCACTTTACCTGCAAAAGCCTTTAAAACAAAATTAACATTTAAAAGTTGAGGAAAAATGGTTACAAGTACTAAGAGAATTTCTTTTTCAGAATTGGTAAAGACGATCTCTTGGGCTGCTGCATATTGGGCCACGATTCTCCGACAAGTCACGGGAGAACACAATGGGAACAGTGCTTTGCTTTAGCCTACGCCGACGGGAATAATCACGGAAATGTGAGGCATTTGAATTAAATGAATTTACAAGTCAAAGATTATCTGTCAATACTTTGAAGCTAGTTCTGAAAAAGAAAAACTATTAAGAAAGACTAGATAAAAACTATGCAACTGCAAAGTTGAATCTACCGTAAATACTGTAATAGTACCCCACCCCCGATAATGACGGTGCGGAGTGTTGCGTAGTCTAGCTTTGAACGAGTTTTTCTCGACACTGGTTTATGCTACAATGTTCGTTTTGATATCAAAAAATAGCCCTGAATTTCAGCTATTTTTTGATATCAAAACGAACATTGTAGCATAAACCAGTGTCGAGAAAAACTCATTCAAAGCTAGACGACGCAACACTCCGCACCGTCATTATGGATGGGGTACTATTGCAGTATTTACGGTAAGTTTAACATCGAGATATATATTAGTTCTTCAAATTCAAAAAATTAAGTAAGAAAATTGATTTTACAATTTGGATTAAAATGATTCAAGCCAAATTTAGCGTACAAAAAAGAAATTATCTAAAGGAAATGTCTGGAAAAAGCATGTTTCAAAATTAGTAAAATATGGCTTTATTTGCGCAGCGGATTGATTATATTATTGATTATTTTCTTTGCTTTTAGTTTTCTATCAGATTGGAAAGAAAGTGCTCAGGATTTTTCTTTACTTTTGGTTTATTTAAATTCCTCGAATACGCAGCCGCTGATAAGTGATCTTGTTTACATCAAGGCTGATTGATTGATGCTGCTTCGGTCGTCATCTTCGGTAATTAGAGCTGACTGATGAAATGGGTACTTAAAGCCATATTTTCGTACGCAGCTGCTGATAAGTGATCTTGTTTACTTTAAGCCTCATTGATTGACTACACACAAACCCAAATGAAATATTGCTATTTTCTTGCTTGATTTTTTTATTTCTTTGGGAGCTGCTCAGGAGCTGCTCAGGAGCTGATCAGGAGCTGCTCAGGAGCTTCTCAGGAGCTTCTCAAGGGTTATCTTCAGTAGTCAGAGCTGACTGATGAATTGGGTACTTAAAACCATATTTTCTTAAGCAGCTGCTGATAAATGATTTGTTTACTTTAAGCCTCATTGATTGACTCTTCGGTCGTCATCTTCGGTAGTCATCACCTTACATCAAGCCTCATTACAATAAATACAATAACAATTGTTTTATTGTCCTTTATAATAAATAATTTAAAGAATATTTTGTTAAAGGGAAAAGTGATTCAGAAATTAGCGTTTCAACTTGAGCAGCGTTTACTTCCGTTTACTTCTTTGTAATTAAAGAAATTTTCTTTAATTACAAAGTATTTCTTTCTAATTTGTGAACTTCTCAATGGAAAAGAGGTTCAAAGTTGATAATTGAATCGAAAAAAAAACAAAAACAAAAAGCTGAACAAAGCTGAATTCGATTCAAAATTGAAAAATGAACTTTTCAGAAGTCGAAACCGGTCGGCACATGGCATTCCATTCTTTCCGAGGTGCCCGAGAATTTCCGTGACATTCCGAAAGCAAAGAAAAGAAAATAAAAGAAAATAAAAGCCAAGCTATTACCTAGAAATCTTTTCTGTTATGTTTTTCTTTATCATTTTTATTTCCAGTTTTATTACCCTAAAGTCGCGAGTATAAGTTCTGTTTGGTATTCGCATGCAAATTGACGGTTGTCTCCGGTGCGGTGTGTCGAGGGTTCGAACCCCGCTGCAGCATAACTTTTTTGCTTTTTAAGAACAATAATAGAAGTAAATTTATTGGGGGTTATAGCAAGGTTATAGCAATTTTATGCAGTTATTTGTTGCTCCGGGCGTGGCTCGGCGCGTCCGCCCTGCTCCTCTCCAGTGCTCATGGATCCGCCCTATGGATCCGCCCTATGGATCCGCCCTATGGATCCGCCTTATGGATCCGCCCTATGGATCCGCCCTATGGATCCGCCCTATGGATCCGCCCTATGGATCCGCCCTATGGATCCGCCTTATGGATCCGCCCTATGGATCCGCCTTATGGATCCGCCCTATGGATCCGCCCTATGGATCCGCCCTATGGATCCGCCCTATGGATCCACCCTATGGATCCCTCCCTGGCCTCTTCATCCGGCCAAAGTCCACGTCGACGGTCGAAAGAGATGCTTTCCAGCGTCTTCTTCAACACTATCGTCTGGATGTATCCATGCACATAACAATGGTGATAGGCTGTCACAAACAATGGTGATAGGCTGTCACCCTGTAGTATCCCGCGCTCCAAGAACAATAAAGTTTATATAACAATAAAAGTTTATATAACAATAATGTATAAAAACCCAAAAAAAAAGAAATTCAAAGCAATTAAAGCGAATGTAAATTAAGGCAGAACTTATACTCGGATCAACTTATACTCGAGACTTAGCTTATCCACTAGGCCACCAATCCATTTGTCCGGGGGGCGAGAAAAGCCTTTTAGAAGGGATGTGAAAGCATTTTAAAGCCTTATATTCGAGACTTTAGGGTATTATCTTTCTTTTCTCATTCTTCAGCATCTCATTTTTGAAATTTTCCTTTTTTTGAATAATGAAAAATGACGGGATAACGAGCTTTTAAAATATTTTCATTTTTTTTTGATTTAGGCTTTAAAAATTTGAGTTATTCGAGAAATTGGTTGACCAAATATGTGTATTTTGATGTTATTTCGATAATTTCTTTGTTCTTTTTTCGTTTCTGTGCCGCTATTTGAAAAATGATACGGGTTTTGATTTTATGTGTGGAAAAAAAAAGAAATGTTTCAAGTTTTATGAATACAAGGAAAGCAAGCAAAAAGGAATGTACGATAGGAGATCGGTGTGCTGAAAAGTTGCATTTGCACTCATTTCCATGCCGACTACGCTGAAATCATCATTTCCACGTTCCTACAAAATTCAGAGCTATATTTCAACTAAGGTTTTCACAATAATCTACTATATAAAAAAGAGACGCCTGTCCATCTGTCCGTCCGTCTGTCCGTCCGTTTGTCCGTCCGCTTGTCTGTCCGTCTGTCCGTCCGTTTGTCTGTCCGTTTGTCTGTCCGTCTGTCCTTCCGTTTGTCTGTCCTTCCGTCTGTCTGTCTGTCCGTCTGTCCGTCCGTCTGTCTGTCTGTCTGTACGTCTGTCTGTCCGTCCGTCTGCCTGTCTGTCTGTCCGTCCGTCTGTACGTCTGTCTGTACGTCTGTCTGTACGTCTGTCTGTCCGTCCGTCTGTCTGTCTGTACGTCTGTCTGTACGTCTGTCTGTACGTCTGTCTGTACGTCTGTCTGTACGTCTGTCTGTACGTCTGTCTGTACGTCTGTCTGTACGTCTGTCTGCTCGTCTGTCTGCTCGTCTGTCTGTCTGTCTGTCTGTACGTCTGTCTGTACGTCTGTCTGTACGTCTGTCTGTCCGTCCGTCTGTCTGTCTGTCTGTACGTCTGTCTGTACGTCTGTCTGCTCGTCTGTCTGTCCTTCTGTCTCTCTATCTGTCTGTCTCTGCGCAAACGCAACGCTCCGTAATTACGTTTGCTCGTTTAAAAGACAAAGTATTCAGCCAGTGCGATATTTTACTCTTGGGGGTTTTCAGCTATGGAGAATCTGACTTTTAGAAGCGTTTTTGAAAAGGGCCGGGGCTTAGCATGGGTTACGGTAGTTTTGGTCATTTGAAAGAAATAAATAGTGCAGTCATAATAGTCATAATCGTGCCCAACGCACGGGTTAACTAATTGATTCTGGTGTGCGTGAAAAAATCAAACTTAAAGACAGATAAGATTTATGAAATTTCAAAGTGAAACTCTTAATCATTGCATTGCAAATTTTATTCACTCTTCACAAATCCAATAAAGTCATCGGTATATCTGCGAATTTCTCATCAGAATTCTCGAGTGGAGACTCCATCTTGGAAAGAGATCGCTCCGATTGATCGCTTTCTGGATTTTATTAAGCTTTCCAGACTGTCTTTTCGTTTCTTTTCGTACTTTTGTTGGAAAAAACAAACAAAATAAACAAATTCACTTACTGAATTGATTGAAATTGATTGAAATTGATTGAAATTGATTGAAATTCATTCAAATTGATTGAAATTCATTCAAATTCATTCAAATTCATTCAAATTCATTCAAATTCATTCAAAATTGATCAATAAACACTTTTTCTTTAGAGAAAATCGTAGGTGAATTGATGAATTTGCATTTGAATATTTGATTTTTTAATTTGAATTTGAATTTGAATTCCTTAGCGAAAAGGAATGAAAAGACTTTCTGAAAAGACTAATAGCTTTGAAAACTATTGTAATTTGATGAGGATGAAGTTTGTTTTTAAAATTTTGTTTTTTTTCCAAACTTTAAGCTCACCTTTTGATGGCTCTTCGACTTCTTCGAAGTTCGGATTCACGAGCTCGTTCACCGGCTCCTCATGGCTTTTCTGGCTTTCCTAAACCAATCTTTTTATAAAAATTTCAATTAAGATTTGAATATAAAACGAATAAAACGATTTCAAGCATCTTTATTAGTCTTTTATTTTAAAAAGAATAATATAAGAAGATCTAAAAAGATCGCTTTACATTACTTCAAATTTCCACCATTCATTTTGAAATCGTTTACCTTCATTTACCTTCATTTACTTTCATTTACCTTCATTTACCTTCATTTACCTTCATTTACTTTCATTTTACCTTCATTTACCTTCATTTACCTTCATTTACCTTCATTTACTTTCATTTACCTTCATTTACCTTCATTTACCTTCATTTACTTTCATTTTACCTTCATTTACCTTCATTTACCTTCATTTACCTTCATTTACTTTCATTTACCTTCATTTACTTTCATTTACCTTCATTTACTTTCATTTTACCTTCATTTACCTTCATTTACCTTCATTTACCTTCATTTACTTTCATTTACCTTCATTTACTTTCATTTTACCTTCATTTACCTTCATTTACCTTCATTTACCTTCATTTACTTTCATTTACCTTCATTTACTTTCATTTACCTTCACTTTACCTTCACTTTACCTTCATTTACCTTCATTTACCTTCATTTACCTTCATTTTACTCCATTTTACCGCTATTTTATAAAGAAAAACGACTTCTCAACTTAAAACTTAAAGACTTAAATAAAGAATTAACGTTTAAATCGATTTGAAATAAAGAAAAAAATAGATTTTACCTTTATTTCAAATCGATTTAAATGTTAATTCTTTTGAAAAACGATCGAAAAGTTATTATTTTGATTTTTTATTCAAAGTTTACAAGCTATTAAAAGAAACTATTGAAAGAAACTATTGCTTTTAAGGTATCTATTTTTTTTGTTTTCAAATCTATGTACTAGTGAGCGATTAATTATTGAATTGTTGGAATTGTTGGAATTGTTGGAATTGTTGGAAGCTTACTTTCACTTGTACCTTTTTGAATTTCAATGTATCAATAAAATTGAGAAATTTTGGGAAAAAAACACCTGATTTTTCACGTTGTTCATCAACTCGACCACTTCAGTGTCATTCTGACGATGAAAGGCGACTGGTGGAAGTGGGATGTAAAGAGAATGGTTGCTAAATTTTTCGCTTAAAGAAGAGTTTAAAGGGATTGAATTTTTACGATGAATTAGATGCGTACAAAGAAATGTTTGATTGGATTTGGGAAAGGTACACAATTGTTTTGTTTGTTTGTTTGTTTGTTTGTTTGTTTGTCTGTTTGTCTGTTTGTTTGTGTGTCTGTCTGTCTGTCTGTCTGTCTGTCTGTCTGTCTGTCTGTCTGTCTGTCTGTCTGTCTGTCTGTCTGTTTGTTTGTTTGTTTGTTTATAATTGTTTGTAAGAGTAGAGTCTCAAAGTTTTTCGTGATTAAGTGAGCGATTAATTATTGAATTGTTGGAAGCTTACTTTCACTTGTAACTTGTAAACTCTAGAAAATTGTAAACTCTAAAAAGCTTACAGCCTTTTGAAGGTTCCATTTTTTATGTGATAGTAGAGCAAAATCGCCAAGAGAGTCCCAAAAAAGATGAAACTTCCGATGACTTTTGAGGCTGAAATGGAAGGATTTTGGTTGATTGATCGCGTTACTTACAGCAGTTTTTTTATTGTTCTAGTCATTGTTGTAGCTAGTTATTGTTCAATAGCTAGTTAATAGCTGTTCAATAGCTAGTTCAATAGCTAGTTATTGTTCAATAACTAGCTTTTGATGAGAGAAATTTGTAACATAAAAAGTACTAAAGGATCATCGAAAATATCGTATTCTCTTTAATAGTAGTGCACCCTGAGCGTTGCCTAATTGCTAAATTACTCGAAATCAGGAAGCCAGTCAGGATTGTTCAAGCTGAGCCTAGCCTATAGGAAGCCCTGAGTGTTCGTCAGTCAGAGCTGACTCTAGATCTGGCTAGCTGACTCTAGATCTGGCTAGCTGACTCTAGATCTGGCTAGCTGACTGTAGCCTGTCTTTCTACCTGCTTGAAACATAACTACCGTCTTTTCTCTAATAGTAGTGCACCCTGAGCGTTGCCTAATTGCTAAATTACTCGAAATCTCGAGAACCACTTATCAGAACCTATCGATGTGGGGGGCGGAAAATGTAGATGAGGATGAGATCTAGTGGGGGATTTGAGTGTTGCGCTTCTGGGGAAAGTCTGGAAGCAGTAAAATAGTCCTCAACTCGGCTCGGTCGGGTGCATAACTATTAGAGAGCACTACTATTAGGTAACTGGTCTATTACAGGGATAAAAATTTCAAACAAACACATCGACAATCTTGAAACTTTGATTGAAAAAAGATTAGAAACAAAGTTATTTGAAACAACAGAAATTTTCAAGAGAACCTCACCTCTCCTTTACTTTTCTGCTTCCCCTTAGCTTTCCTTTTTCTTCCATTGAAACTTACAAATGCTATACGCATAATCGGTTCTCGCGTGCTCGATTTTAAAGCCAAAAAACGAGTAGGTATTGGCTGAAATGGGTAACAATTGATCCCTCTTAGCTTCAAGAAAATTTAAGCTTTAAGAAAATTTTACCAGCAGATCTGAGGAGCTTTTCCTTGATCAGATAGGATAAGGTGATATACAATTTCTCATCAAAAAACGTTGACGGATCTTTTGGGAGAAGAGAAATCTGCAAGAAAAAAAAATTGCATGTTTCAAATTCTTTGAGGAAAATGTTTACGAACCTGTATTAATTACAAAAATTTTTCCAAAAACATTAATTTAGTTCTGGAATCTTTCCTTTTTTTTCATTTCTTACTTTTCATTGAAATCTTTTAGGGAAAAGGGGAATCTGTGGCCGAAAAAGATGTCATGTTTCAAAATAATGAAAATAGTCAAAGTTATCTCTACTATACCGTATTCTCTCTAATAGTAGTGCACCGCCGAGCCGAGTTGGTGACCGAGCCGAGTTGATGACTATTTTGCGGTTTCCAAGCTTTTGCAGAAGCGCAACACTCTAATCTTCAGCAAGATCTTATCGTCAGCTACATTTTCCGACCCCACATCGATAGGTTCTGATAAGTGGTTCTCGAGATTTTGAGGAATTTAGACGACGATTAAGCTGCACTACTATTAGAGAAAAGACGGTAGTTATGTTTCAAGCAGGTAGAAAGACAGGCTACAGCCAGCTAGCCAGATCTAGAGTCAGCTCTGACTGACGAACACTCAGGGCTTCCTATAGGCTCAGCTTGAAACATAACAAGTACTAAAGGATCATCGAAAATACCATATTCTCTCTAATAGTAGTGGATCCTAATCGTCGCATAAATCTCGAGAACCACTTATCAGAACCTATCGATGTGGGATCGGAAAATGTAGCTGACGATGAGATCTAGTGGGGGATTAGAGTGTTGAGCTTCTGCAAAAGCTTGGAAACCGTAAAATAGGCATCAACTCGGCTCACCGGTGTGCACTACTATTATAGAGTATACGGTAATTGCCAGAACTTTTAGGAAACACTTACCTTTGTCTAATAATGTTTTTTCTAGACTAAGGAACTCCGCGTCGCCTAGATATTCAGAATCAGCGCAAAAAATTGCTCTAGAAAAAGTTTGTCTCAGCCCGTAAGCATCTTTAATTAATCTTCCCCCAGCTAACATAAAAGTACCATCTGTTTTGTGTGATTAAAATCAGGAATTTGGTGATAATTTTCAAGTTAGTGAAGTAAAGTCGACCTGAAAGTCATGCGAGTGATCATCATCGTTGACTCGTTCCAAAATGATCACAACCTAATGTTTTCTAGTGTTTTTTTTTTGCTTATTAATTTGAAAACAAGCTAGGCATTATCTTACTTTTTCTCTGGTTTTCGATTCGTCTTGAACTTTCTGGAGAATCTCCATTATATCGTCGATTTGCACTTCGTTTGTCGCGAAATCGATAGTAGCACCTAAAAGGTTATTTTCGATATAAATTTATTTCATAATCAAGAATGTTTACAAGAACTAAGAAGAAGTAAGACTGACAAGAAGTCTGACAAGGTTGTCTGAGAGTCTGACAGTCTGACAGTCTGACAAGAAGTCTGACAAGTCTGACAGGAAGTCTGACAGTCTGACAAGTCTGACAAGAAGTCTGACAAAGTTGAGAAAGCTAATAAAGCGATAAGGATAAATCCCATCTGTTCTTCATATTTTGACTCTTTTTGTAGAATAATTTCGCAACTTAAATCATTTCTTATTATTAGAATTTATTATTAATTAAATTAAATCAATTTCTATCTATTTTGCTGTCTTTTTACTTTAGTAAGTCTGACTAAAGAAAATCTGAGAAAGTTGTCTGACAGTCTGACAGTCTGACAAGTCTGACAATAAGTCTGACAGTCTGACAATAACTAAACCCAACCACAAATCGGGAAACAGTGCCCAAATGGTTTAATCGGATTGAGACAGATTCCATCGCTTGGCTCGGCTTTCACATATTGGCAAATAATATACATGATCTAGAAATGAGATTTTGGAAAAAGGTTTTCTTTTAAAAGAAATAAGAATAGCATTAAAATTTACAGTTTTTTAATAGATATTGCCTGTTTAGATTAGATGCTTGATTAGATGCCTGATTAGATTCAACCAAAAAAAAAGCTCGTGTTTAAGATTGGATAAGTTCTACTAGGCTGAGGAAAAAGCCTTGTCTTAGCTGAGAAAAATTCAGTTTTTGATGCGCACTTTAATAACAAAAATAGCAACAATGTTTCCTTAAAAGTATAAAAGTATAACCCATCATTATCTACGACTCTACGACTTTCTGCAATCAGCAATCAGCAATCTGCAATCAGCAATCAGCAATCTGCAATCAGCAATCAGCAATCTGCAATCAGCAATCAGCAATCAGCAATCTGCAATCTGCAATCGACTTTCTGCAATCGACTCTCTGCAATCGATCTGTAAGCTTTCGGATCTCGTCGACGTAACTCTCCTTCGGTTTCAAATCAAAGAACTCTTGGCAAGCTTCTTCAACTTCTTCAAATGACTTGAGTCATCATCATCCAACTTTGGCGGTCAACCTCAACGAGATAAGACTTCAAGGCTCGTGTCACCGGAATCAAAGCATCTGTACCATCTTGAAACCTTTGATTGACTTACAGTTCCTTCACCTTCAGCAAATCTCAGAAATCAAAGTATAACCTATCAAAGTATAATCAAAGCATATCAAGATATATCAAAGTATAATCTAAGTATACCAAAGTATACCAAAGTATAATCAAAGTATAATCAAAGTATAACGTAAATCAAAGTATAACCCATCATGCTCTACGACTTTCTGCAATCGATCTGTAAGCTTTCGGATCTCGTCGACGTACCAATCCTTCGGTTTCGAATCAAAGAACTCTTGGCAAGCTCCTTCAACTTCTTCAAACGACTCGAATCAGCTTTCATTCAATCAGACTTTCAGGAAATGCAGCAATGATCGGAAGAGTCGATGGGGTAAAGTCCGGACTGTAAGCAGGATGCAGCAAAATCTCAACTCCGTCCAGCTCTTCAAACTTTTTTGGTCTTTTTGGCGGTGGGAGGCGGTGGCAACAAGTTTTTGGCGAAACCCAGCTCTGTTTCAACAAGACAACCTTTAGGGTTGTCTTGTTGAAACAGAGCTGGCTTTCGTCTTTTTCTTGCAAACTCATTTGGAATACAAAGATCAAGATTTGTACAATACTAAAGCGCAAAAAAACTAGCAAAAAATGCCTAAATGTTTGATTGACTTACAGTTCCTTCATCTTCAGCATCGTAAATCTCAAAAATCAAAGTATAACCTATCAAGGTATAACCTATCAAAGTATAACCTATCAAAGTATAACCTATCAAAGTATAACCTATCAAAGTATAACCTATCAAAGTATAACCTATCAAAGTATAACCTATCAAAGTATAACCTATCAAGGTATAACCTATCAAAGTATAACCTATCAAAGTATAACCTATCAAGGTATAACCTATCAAAGTATAACCTATCAAAGTATAACCTATCAAAGTATAACCTATCAAAGTATAACCTATCAAAGTATAACCTATCAAAGTATAACCTATCAAGGTATAACCTATCAAGGTATAACCTATCAAAGTATAACCTATCAAAGTATAACCTATCAAAGTATAACCTATCAAAGTATAACCTATCATTGAATTTTCCGCAGCTAAATCAGAACTTTTTCCTTGATCTAAAAGTAGAAAAAAAGAATCAAATTTCTTCTTAATTGTTCCATAAAAATGTTTAAACAAATAACTTTCATAACTTAAACAAATAATTTCCATAACTTAAACAGATAACTTAAACAAATAACTTTCATAAATGTATCCTTTCATACGTTTTTATTTGAATTCCAATTCCTTATCCCATATCCGTCCGTTTCTTCGTCGACAATGTTCAGGACTGTAGTTGTTGGGCTCTATCCAAATCAAAAGTTTCATTTTTTAAGAAAAACTCTTGAAAATTTGAATGCTTAATCATATAATAATCATGTCATAGACACCCGAATCCGGTTCTGGCAGACCGTTTGACAGATTCGGACGTCCAAAAAAGAAATTGGATCGGATTTGGACGTTCGAACCTGGCTCTAACAATGCACCAAATTCGGACATAACATTTACATTAATTTTTTTATTTCCGGAGCATTCCAACCAAGCCAAAGCCAGCTAGGCCTGTGCTAGAGCTAGAGTTAGAGCTAGAGCTAGAGTTAGAGCTAGAGCTAGAGATAGAGTTAGGGCTAGAGCTAGAGCTAGAGCTAGAGTTAGAGCTAGAGTTAGAGATAGAGCTAGGCCAGAGCTAGAGCTAGAGCTAGAGCTAGAGCTAGAGTTAGAGCTAGAGTTAGAGCTAGAGCTAGAGTTAGAGCTAGTTAGAGCTAGAGTTAGAGCTAGAGCTAGGCCAGTGTCAGACCAGATCAGCTTCTGGTGGATCCAGGCCTACTTGTTCTACCTGCATTTGCATCTCGGCTTTGTCCTTTTCTTTTGCCAACAAGTGACCCAATCTGAAAGCGAATTTTTATGCCTTTTGTGCACAAAACGGTAAGCCTGTATTTCTTGAGTACAAAGTCCATTACAAAAACACAAAGATCTCCAAAATTGTAATTTATTTTTCAATTTAGCAATCTTGATTGTTTACCAGAAATTCTATTATTAAAGATTCCCATGAGATGAAAAAGTTTTGCGTTTCAAATTGAGAAATTTTATAAATATCTCAATGATGTTAATTGTAACAGGATTTTAATATTATGAAAGTTTTACAACTAATTAAAACTAACTAAATTTGAATAGCATCTCGGCTTTGTGCTTTTCTTTTGCCAACAAGTGGTTCTCTTGAAAATTTCTGTTGTTTCAAATAACTTTGTGTCTAATCTTTTTTCAATCAAAGTTTCAAGATTGTGGATGTGTTTGCTTGAAATTTTCATCCCTGTAAAAGACCAGTTACCGTATTTTCTCTAATAGTAATGCACCCTGCCGAGTTGATGACTATTTTATGGTTTCCAAGCTTTCCCAGATGCTCAACACTCAAATCCCCCGTTAGATCTCATCGTCAGCTACATTTTCCGATCTCACATCGATAGGTTCTGATAAGCGGTTCTCGAGATTTCGAGGAATTTAGACGATGAACAGGGTGCACTACTATTAGAGAGAAGACGGTAATTATGTTCCAAGCAGGCAAAAAGACAGGCTACAGTCAGCTAGCCAGATCTAGAGTTAGCTCTGACTGACGGACACTCAGCGCTTCATATAGGCCAGGCTCAGCTTGAACAATCGTGACTGGCTTCCTGATTTATACTGCTTGTACCTCTCACTAATCCCCCCACTAGATCTCATCGTCAGCTACATTTTCCGATCCCACATCGATAGGTTCTGATAAGCGGTTCTCGAGATTTCGAGCGATTTAGAGGACGATCAGGGTGCACTACTATTAGAGAAAATATGGTATTACATTTAGTTATTTTTAGGTAAATAATGCAATTTGAGTTTGCTTTGTGGAAAATCCGAATTCTTGCTTTTTCTAAAATCCTTACAAGAGACAATAAACAACATTAACTACCGTTTTCTCTCTAATACAGTAGTAGTAGTTGTTGTTGTTGTTGTTGTTGTTGTAGTAGTAGTAGTAGTAGTCTCTCTGTAGTAGTGCACCCGGTCAAGCCGAGTTGATGACTATTTTACTGCTTCCAGAGTTTTCACAGAAGCTCAACACTCAAATCCCCCACTAGATCTCATCGTCAGCTACATTTTCCGACCACACATCGATAGGTTCTGATAAGCGGTTCTCGAGATTTCGAGCAATTTAGAGGAGGATCTGAGTGCACTACTACTAGAGAAAATACCCCTTTAGAGAAAATTCTACTATTAGTGAAAATAGGGTAAATATTTTTCTTCAATTCTTACCTCACTTGAAATTCGCCTTCAATCGTGGAGACGAAATTCTTGAATGAAATCGAGGTGAAGCGCTGAAAAAAATGCAAATTAATTACATGTTTATTTTGGTAATTTTTTTTATGAATTCCATGATAGATTTAAATTTCTGCACCTTTTAAACCCTTTTTTCAGCAATGATTTCTTTCTTGCAACGGGTTTGAACGTTTAAAAAAAACCTAGTTTCAAATTAAAATAAGTTAATCAACATTTTTCAAAGTTAATCAATCTGCGGTAGTGAGATCAAAAAACTCTAATCTTTTCACCGCTAGAAAGTCAAATATTTGACTCGATTTTTTTATTCATTTAATTGAAATTGAAATTCAATTAGAACTCGGGTTTAATTGGTTTAAAGTTTTAAATTCGAAAGGAGCGCTGATTTTGCGAGCTTCGCGGTTTTTCGACGTTTGCAATTGGTTAAAGAATGCAATGGTTTGCAATTGGTTAAAGAAAAACCTTGTTTCAACTTAAATCAAGTTAATCAACATTTTTCAAATTTAATCAACGTCCATGCTATCCGAAAACCCTAAACTTTTCACAATTTTAACCCAATTTTAACAATAAACCCAATTTTACTCCGTTTTTCGACGTTCGCAATTGGTTTGAACGTTAAAAAAACCTAGTTTCAACTTAACTGAAGTTAGACAACATTCTTCGAGTTAACCAAGTGCGTAATAGATAATAATCGCACCAAAGTCATCAAAAACTTTGTGTTAATTATTCAAATTTGAAAAAAGAAAGGCAATATGCAGAAAAAAACCTAGTTTCAAATTAACTCAAGTTAGACAACATTTTTCAGATTTAATCAACGTTCAAAATCCAATACTCCGTTTTTCGACGTTCGCAATTGGTTTGAATCTTAAAAAAAACCTAGTTTCAACTTAAAATAAGTTAACCAATATTTTTCAAGTTAATCAAGTAGCTAATCGATAATAATCGCACAAAAGTCATCAAAAACTTTGTGTTGATTATTTAAATGCAAATTTTCAAAAAAGGCATATGCAAAAAAAACCTAGTTTCAAATTAACTGAAGTTAATCGATATTTTTCGAATTTAATCAACGTTCAAAATCCAAAAACCCTAATCTTTTCACAATTTTAACCCAATCTTAACAATAAACCTTTTACTCCTAAAAATACAAAAATTGATTTCTTTAAACTTTTCCAGCACTTCCAACTTTCCAGTGTTTCAAAAATTCACTTTAATTCATTAGTTCTTTAGTTCTTTAGTTCTTTAGTTCTTTAATTCTTTAATTCTTTAATTCTTTAATTCTTTAATTCTTTAATTCTTAATTCCAGTAGAAACCTCAAACAACAATTTTTAGATAGAAAATCGTTAAAAACGATGTTTTTTTAGATTTTTTAGTGATAATTTGAAATCTTGAAACAAATTTTGATAAAAAAATGAAAATTCGAAAAGATTTGTTGACTTTAGAGATTATTTTTCAAGAAATATGGGATAAAATCATGTTTCCACTGCTCAATGTAAGCGCAATTGTTTCAAATTTTCATTTCAAATCTAACAAATAATCTAAATCTAACTAATTAATAAAATAAAGCAACTTAAATAAGAAAATAAGGCTATTTTTGTCTTTTCTGTGGTGAAATGCTCAAAAATTAGTCTTTAAAAAGCTTTTTCTTTCAAGAAACTTCACTTTTAAAGACTGATTGATTGATTTGAAACTGAGAATTTCTAAATTCAGACTCAACTTTTGGGGCTTGAATGAAATGGCTTTGAAATGGCAAATTACGACGTTTATTTGAAAATAAGGAGCGCTTCTTTAAAGAGACTTCTTTTGAACCGTTAAAATCTGGCCTTTTGGTCAGCGATTTCCGACTCAACTTTTGGCGGTTAAACGAAATAAGATCAATTTTGACGATCAAATTGATTGATTGACGATAAACTGATTGATTGATTTGAAGCTGTGAGTTTCTAAAGTAAGATTGAACTTTTGGCGTTTCAACGAAATGAAATCAATCAATCAATTCGAAATAAACTCAATTTTGAATTCAAAAAGAGAATATTACAGCGAATTTAAAAACAAAAACATTAAAAACGAACATTTGAAGGGTTTTTGAAGAAATCAGCAATTGAAATTGATTAGAAAGAAAAGATAATTTTGTTTTTTTTAAGTCCTGAAGAGGTCAACAATTGAGGCTTGAAATTTCAAAAGAATTTCCCTTAATTTGAAACTTACTTCTTTTGAGCCAATGAACTTTTGCTTAAAATTAGATTTAAGGCTATAAATCTATTAAATAATTATAAATTCAAGGATAAACTATAAATTTAGGTAATTTCGTTGTAAGACGGCTCAAGTAAAGTAGCCTTGATTCAAAGCCTTTATTCAGCCTTTTTTTTTGAGTTAATAAAGTTTTGCTGAATTTTTGTTTAAAAATTTCAAGACACGCTCTTTCAAGATAATGTTTTTATGAAATTGAGAATAGAAGTGACGCAGATTTAAGCTATAAATTTACAATATAAGTTCTATATGAGATAACACAAAAACTGGGAGCCATTGCCTTTTTAAAGCTCACTTTTTAGTCCCATAACTTGAAACTGAAGAAAAAAAAACAGATTAAAACGTTAAAATCAAAGTAAAACCTGAAAATCAAAGAAAAACCCGAAAATCAAAGCAAAACCATAAAAAACGATTCAATTTTCCACCGATTCATCGAAAGCTTTTCAATAAAAGAAAACTGAACCCAAGACTTTGCCTTTTCCCTCTCGCAATTGTCATTTCCTTTTTTGAATTCTTTTTTTTTGAAAAATTTTGCAGGTGGGACCAATTGAGGCTTGAAATTTCAAAGAGACTTCCCTCAATTTGAAACATTTTTTTTTTGAGTTAATAAACTTTTGCTTAAAATTAAATTTAAGGCTATAAATGTATTAAATAATTATAAATTCAAGGATAAACTATAAATTTACACAATTTAGTTGTATACGGGTCAAGTAAAGTAGCCTTGATTCAAAGATTTCACTCGCAAACTTTCGCAAACTTCAATCGCAACTTTAGAAGTGAGCTTTTTAAAAAGTTTCGGTTTCAAAATTTTCAAAATGATTTTTCAAAAAAATTTTCAATCAGGATTTGGTTCAATTTTTCAGTTCTTGCAACTTTTATCGTAAAGTTATCTGAGCCTTTTGTGTTCTGAGCTTTCCCTGACGTTCAATTCCTTTTGCTTTCCTTTTTGCGAGTGTCCAACATTGCCAAATTCTCTTTTTTTTTCACCTCAATTCTCACCAAAGCAAGGAAAAAAAGAAAACTTCTTAGATCCATCCAATTAAATTGCAAATACGCCTTTTGGGCGACGAATTTTGGCTCAGACGTTTTCGTGGAGAGGACTTTTGCTCAGAAAGTCCTTTTTTGAGCGGATTTTGAACTCACGCCAACTTTTCAAGCTGCAAAACTCTATTTTTGGGGTTTTTTGGATTTTTTTTGGGTTTTCCAAACAAATTTCTGCATAAATTTCAATGAGAATTGATTTTTAAAGGAAAATTTTTTCTTGGGTGCGTGGGAAGAAGCGATTTTATAGCATTTGAAAGCGAAGAATCTCCTCTCCAAGCTAGGCTAATGAGTTTTTGAGTTTATCTAGAAGTTTAGACCAATTAACCTGAGTTTCAATTGGTAGACTGAGTAAAATGAATACCTCCAATCGATTCGCCGACCCCGAAAACCCCCGGATACAAATTTACAGATGGATTTCTTTATTTAAGGCCATGTACAAAAGAGAAATCTGTATGTAAATGACTGGCGAGGTGTTCTTTGCGCGCCGGCGTAATCGCTCTCCATCTGGCAAACGGCCCTGGATGGGGTGGTCCGCTTTTGGTAAAGGGACGGTGAGCGAATGATCCTCCGCATGTCGCTCGCTTCAATTGATCGTTGGTCTGGACTTCGTTTTCACGTAAAGTATCTATGACTTTTGCTTCATTATCTCGATCCAAAAGAACTGAAACTCGTGACAAAAGTTCTCGCAGGGGAAAAGAGCAGTGAGCGACTGAGCCTTTTTGACGTCACTATTCCCAAATTTTTCCCAAAAGAGATCTGTATGTAAATGACTGGCGAGGTGTTCTTTGCGCGCCGGCGTAATCGCTCACTTTCTGGCAAATTGCCCTAGATAGGGTGCTTCCATTTTGGAATTCGCAAAAAAGAATCATCCTTCGCGTGTCGCTCTATTAATTGATCGTTGGTTTGGACCTCGTTTTACTGCATTATGTTGATCCAAAAGGACGGAAATTCGTGACAAAAGTGCTTGCAGGGAAAGAGCGGTGCCATCAAGATCAGACAAATTTACCATCTCATCTCTTGCTATTTATAGCAGTTTGTAGTCTCTTCCCATGGGATAAAACTACAAACCTGGACAAAAACGACAACCTGGACAACCTACAAAATATTTCAGCGAAGAGATGGTGAATTGACATGATCTTGGTGCCATTCGAAAGCCTAAATTTGGCTCGATTTTTTTATTCATTGAATTGAAATTGAAATTCAATTGGAGCCCGGGTTTAATTGGTTTAAAATTTTGAATCCGTAAGGAGCGCTGAGCGACTTTGCGAGCTTCACCGTTTTTCGTGTCGCTAAATTTTTGAGGATTTATTTTGGTCCTAATTTTGACTGTATTTTGACTAGCTTCTAGCTTCGAGCCTTTTGCTAGAAACCCGATAAAACCTAAGATTTTCATGAGGTTTTTTTTGAAGTATCATCTTTGTAGACTTTTGTATAGAATTTCCTCAAAGCTTTACATTGAATCTAGTTGAATCTTTACATTGAATCTAGTTCTATCCAGTCTTTTCTCAGTCCAACTATTCTCTTGTATTGTCTTTGATCGAAAAGAAAAGAAGCAAAATTCAAAAATTCATCTAGAAAAAGTCTAGAAAAGAAAAAGAAAAGAAAAAAAAGAAAAAAAAAAGAGAATTTTTCGTTTCTGAACATATCTCATTGCTAAGTTTGCCTGAAGAAAGGGAATTTTTGAATGAAAAAGAAAGAGAAAAAGAGAATTCTCTTGTCAAAGTCTTTTGTCAATTTCTTTGTATTCTTTTTTTTTCCTTTTTTCTTTTTTTGAAAACATTTTTCATTCAGAATATCATTTTACAAACTAATCAAGAATTCAGAAAAGGAAATGACAATTCCGAGTGGGAAAAGGCAAAGTTTTGGGTTCAGTTTTCTTTTATTGAAAAGCTTTCGATGAATCGGTGGAAAATTGAATCATTTTTTATATGGCTTTGCTTTGATTTTCGGGTTTTGCTTTGATTTTCACGTTTTAATCTGTTTTTTTTTCTTGAGTTTCAAGTTATGGGACTAAAAAGTGAGCTTTAAAAAGGCAATGACTTCAAGTTTTTATGTTATCTCATATAGAACTCATATTGTAAATTTATAGCTTAAATCTGCGTCACTTCTATTCTCAATTTCATAAAAACATTATCTTGAAAGAGCGTGTCTTGAAATTTTTAAACAAAAATTCAGCAAAACTTTATTAACTCAAAAAAAAAGGCTGAATAAAGGCTTTGAATCAAGGCT